GGTTCATGTGTGTATTTTTCAATTGTCCAACAATGGCAAGATTTAGTATGACTTTTATCTTTACCACAATTGAGTCAAATGTAGTTATTGATGATGATCTTCTGATTACCTACAATTGCTGCAAACACTTGACTTTTTTACTGGCTGCTTTGGAACACAAGTGGACTTTTAGCACATGAAATTGCACATACTAAAATTAGAACAATAATATTGTGACATTTAACCAAATTAGATTAGGATTTATGGAGATTCTCAAGATACTCTACCTGTTTAGCGGATACTGTCTTTTGAACCTGTTGGGCTGTGACAGCCTCTGGATCCTTTTGGAGGGTTGGCTAAACAATGCAGGTGGAGGGGTCTTCCAAATTACAGACTGTCTCCCACAGCTGTAGTAATATTGAGGCCTGAAAATTGTAGAAGAAAAAAGAAGCGAGTGAAACCAGCATGAATTCAAATTATCATAGCATTTTGCCACATTGATCCTCAGTTCTAGGGGAGCAGGAATGACAGTTTAACTCTTTATCACTGAGCTATTTTCCACAGGGGGAGAAATTAATTGCTTTAGAAATGGTTACAGCCTTGAAGTTTTCACTTGGCTTCTATTATCCTTCTCCAAAACAGATAATTTTCTGTGATAAATAAATTGTATCTTCAAAATAGACTAAAAGATATGCTGATGAAAAGAAAAATTTCTGCTTTTAAAACCAAATACTTCCTTTAGCATCTATAATAATTTACTTTTTTTCCTATATTTTTAGTTAATAGGATGAATTACATGAATACTTTGTGTTAAAGAACTCTGAGTTTAGAAATAAATTCTACTTAAATCCTGGTATATAGATTATTAATCATTATTGGGATTTGTTAACTAAGATTTTATTTAGGATAAATAATAATATTGTTCTTATCATCCCTGCCCCTCAGTCTTTTCTTAATCAAAATACATTGTAGCATCAATGAAAACGGAAATTTCCATTAGCTACCTTACACCTGGCTACCTCACACCAGGCTACCTCACACCTGGCTACCTCACACCTGGTGTTAACAGACTGTTGTCCCATTTCTGTTTCTATTATTTTCCACATGACCTCTGCTCCTTTAGGTGCTCACAGATAGGAGCCGCATCCATCTTCCCGAGCCTCTATCTGCTCGTTGCTACTGTAAGCCTTAGTCTGCGATTAAGCCTGTGTGTCCCTTGCGTGCTGCCAGCCCTGAGGCCTGCCCACACTACCACTCACTGCTTCCAGAGGGCCGATGACTGCCCAGTCCTGGCTCCACATTCTGAGTGAACCCACTCAGCCACCTCCACCCACACACAGAGCTGAGCCCAAACAGGCAGGGACCTTCCAGCACGTACCTGAGATTAGTGTTTTGCAGGAAATGGCGATTCAGTTTGGGAATTGGATATATAGAAGGAAGAGATGATTTTGAACAATGGGGCACTTCAGAGAGATTAGACTCAGGCTGGGGGTCTACAGTGGGTGAGAAGGGGTGTCAGGCAGCCAATGAGCGGCACAAAGGCAAGATGCATTTGGGGAACGGGGAAAAGGGTAGAGCCCAGGCAGTGGGCAAGATACGAGAAAAGATGGGAGGACACCAGAGACAAAATTCAATTTCTCAACTTTGTCTCAGTTGGGAATAGAAAACCACAAATGCCATGAAAATATGTACTGACCGTATTACTTATGCCTTATGCTGCCAACACCTAAAAGTATGTGGATGTTCTATAAAGTGGAGAAAATAGTACATTTTATGGTAGTCATAAAGGTTAAATAAGAGAAGTATAAGTCACTTTATAATTTACAGAGCACTATTCAAATACAAGTTTATTGATCAACTTGTATATTAATTTTATATTTCATACGTTCATATCTTTCTCCTTAATATTGCATATTGATAGAATTACTACTTTGTCTTTATGTGTCTCTCCTCCTCCTGTGGTTGTCAGTGCACTCAAGCCTCACAATTCTGCCAATGTAGCAGGTACTCAAATATTATTTTAATATAGAGTGCACTGCATTTTTCGCATTGTAAAAGAGATAAATATTTATTATAGAAAATTTGTAAAATAAAGTTCAAGAGAGAGAAACAAAAAGTGTACATTAGCCCACCATTCAGAGATAACAATAGGTAGTATTTTGGAATAATTTATGTCTTTTTTTTCTAGAATTTAAGTCTATTCATACACTCAAAAAATATTATTGAGCACCAGGCACTGTGTTAGCATTAGGGAAAGAGTGGAGAAGAAGATCATTGCTGCTTTTTTGGAGCTTAATCTCCATGTCAAGGGGAGAATAGTAAATACAAAGTAAACAGCTGTGATAGGGCTATGAAGGCATCAGCCATGCAGCAAAGACAGAGGCTTCCCAGGAAGATTTGTAAGAGGAAAGTTATGTTGAAGACAGTGGTCAGAGAAAGCCTCCCTGAAAAGCTGAGATGTAAGCTGCGACTAAAAGACCAGAAGATCTCAGTCATTTAAAAATGGGGGAAAGCATTAAAATGGCAGAGAAAGAAATACAAAAAAGATCTTGCAATGGGAGAGATTTTGGTGTATTTAAGGAATAAATATTTTTAAAAATAAAAATAGAATCATACACTATCACTTGATACTATAGCACAAGCATTTCCTCTTGTCATGAAATATAAATAATACCCTTTTAAGAAGTAAATTACTTTGGTGAACTAAAAAACTTGGAAGAGACTCCCACTTCCAGACATTATAAAATAACAAGGACTGGGTTTATCCCTAGATTAGTGCCATTTAAAAAAAAAAAAAAACTTTAAAGTAAACCTCAAAAATGGGCAAAGAATTTAGATAGACGTTTCTCCAGAGAAGGTATTCGAATGGCCAATAGGCACATGAAAAGATACTCAACATCAAAAGTCATTAAGAAAATGCAAATCAAAACCACAATAAGTACCACGTCACACACACTAGGGTGACTATAATCAAAAAGATAGACAATAACAAATGTTGGCAAGAATGTGGAGATATTGGAACCCTCGTCCATTGCTGGTGGATTGTAAAATGATATAGTCACTTTGGAAACTGTCTGGCTGTTCCTGAAATAGTTAAACATAGGGGAACTGTATGAACCAGCAATTACACTCCCACTACATATCCAAAAGAAATAAAAACATACATCCACACAAAGGCTTGTACACGAATGTTTATAACAGCATTACTCATGGCCAAAAAGTAGAAACAACCCAAATGGCCAGTAAGGGATAAATGGAAAAATAAAATGTGGCAAAGCCATACAATGAAATATATGCATTATTTTATTCTTTCATTCGTTTGTTTAACTATTTTTGGTGGCTAGCCAGTATGGGGAGCCAAACCCTTGACCTTGGTGTTATTTATTTATTTTTTTTCTGGAAGAAATAATAAGAAATTTTAGAATACTTTTAGCTTTTTTTTTTTTTTTTTTTTGGCAGCTGGCTGGTTCAAGGATCTGAACCCTTGACCTTGGTGTTACAGGATACTTTTAGGAATAAGGACTAAGGATAGGGAAGATTCAGCTTTCATTTTTCTCCCCCTCAACCCTTCCCAGGTAAACATAATCTCTTCTTTTTGAACTCCAGAAGAACAGAGGATTTCTCACTTATTACTTTACTCTACCTGGTATGTCTTCACAATAGGTGATAAAATACTTAGAAGCAGTAATCGTGTCTTACTTGGCCTTGCCCCTGGAAGCACCTATCACAATATACTTGCTAAATGAAATGTAATGGTAACATGCCACCAAACATAATGGTCAAATGTCACGAAATATGCAAGGATCATTCACATATTTTCTCAAAAGAAGATAAAATTAATGTACAACTAGAATTCTCTTGTTCGAATAAATGTAGTCTCCATTAAGGAATTTGAAAAATTATTGAATTCATATTCTTGAATAAACAAACAAACAAGATACACCAGTGATTTCTTTCTTTAAAAACAAACAAGTACTGGGCCGGCCCGGTGGCGCACTCGGTAGAGTGCGGTGCTTGGGAGCGCAGTGGCGCTCCCGCCGAGGGTTCAGATCCCATATAGAGACAGGTTCGCTCACTGGTTGAGTGCGGTGCGGGCGCAACACTGAGGGTTGCGATCCCGTTACCAGTCACGAAAAAAGACAAAAAGACAAAAAAAAAAAAAAAAAAAAACAAGTACACCAATGATTGTAGCCTGTAAATGTCATTTTGAAACAAGCATCTAATTCAACCAATATTAGATTTATAAGGAACATGTTGAGTTGGAGGTTCCTGTGACACCATCCCACAGGGAAACCCAGTAAGTCTGAGATAATGAGAGACGTCTGGGCTGGGAATAAAGATTTGAAGGTCATCACCACAAGAATGGAAGCCAAATCCATGAGAGGACAACCTTGCCCATGGGAAGAGTTTAAAGCAGGAAGAGAAAGAAGCCAAGGACAGGACACCCGGTAACANTCTGAGTTTAGAAATAAATTCTACTTAAATCCTGGTATATAGATTATTAATCATTATTGGGATTTGTTAACTAAGATTTTATTTAGGATAAATAATAATACTGTTCTTATCATCCCTGCCCCTCAGTCTTTTCTTAATCAAAATACATTGTAGCATCAATGAAAATGGAAATTTCCATTAGCTACCTCATACCTGGCTACCTCACACCTGGTGTTAACAGACTGTTGTCCCATTTCTGTTTCTATTATTTT